ATCAACTTCAAAACACTGCAATATGTTTTATATTTGTAATCTATTTCTTTGAACTACCGCTGTCCTAGTCAAATTCACAATGATGGACATATTTTTAATAATGTCATACTGGTCAACAATTGAAGCTGCGCATGATGCAAAAAAAAACTATAAGGTATTGCATCGAGTGAATCAATTTATGTGTAGGTACTTCAGAAAGCTTATACTTTTCGACTTTGAAAATATTTACAATGTAAAATACATACAAACATGCTGTAATAGCAGAAAATAGATTTTGAAGTCAGTCATAAACCCATAAGTTTGCTTCCCACGATTCAAGCGTTTTTGTATCTTTTGCAATTTCTGAAGTCCCCACATGAATGTCAAAATATGTATGTACAAATTTACCATATATGATTCACATACTCATAAAGTTTGAAGTATAAAGAAAATTTGGGTCACAGGTACGTAAGTATCTTCACGTCAAGGCCTCTCTCCACAGCTCTACTACACGTGGAACAAATTTCCTAAACATTCGGTAAAACCGAACAAGTGTCGGGTAGAAAGAAATGTACAAAAAAACTAGTAGTCTCGGAAGCTGACCTAAATTCTCTTTGTCGTATAATAGTCCAGGTCCTATGTGCCGAGGCATGCTTATCACAATACCGGAATCAAGTTGGGTTGAAACAACAAATTCGAATAGGTTAGGAGCCAAATCTATATGTTCAAATTGCATTATTTGTCGCCAAAATTGCCTAGTTTTATATACATTATGTTATATGTGATGCTTTTGGCTTACATGTAAACAATAAAAAATCGAAAATATATTGCTTCTGTATACATTCAAAATATGTACTTCTTACCTAGGAAAAGAGTGAAATACGAGGAGGAGAATACGCGACATAGGATAAAACCTCTTTACAAAGTACTATCATTATGAGATGTAGTGCACAGGGCGCTTGAATTCTGAAGGCTAGATTTGAAAACGCTGGTGTAATCATAAATCTACTTTAGTCAACATCGGCTTCACTGATTTGTCTTTCTCGGTGTTTTTAAGACAGTTCTTGCGTGTCTGATCCAGGCGTGTGGCCACATTGTTCTTTTGTAGCATCTCCCAAAGTATGTCACCTGAGATGTAGTAGTGGAACTGCCCAGCTCTCTTATATATATATATATATATATATATGTCTTCTTAAGGCACCTCTTTAATTTAAGAATGCCACTTTTACTCATTCGTGGGAACACAGCAGTAAGTCCGTATTTTAGTACCCGGTAGATGCATGCCTCACTTATTCTAGCTGAAGTTTTAGTGCACACTTTTGACGCATTTGTCTACCAATGCCCATCAAAGTGAAAGCGTTGTGTCAACGTAATAATAATACCAGAGAAAACATCTACCTTCATTAGGCTTGTGCCGCTCTTTGCAAATTATGTAAAAAGTATCATGTCTTGAAATAGTCTAACACCACAATTATGAGCAAACACTCACACTTTTAGGAAATGGCACTAGAAAGACAAACCTAATGTCAGAAGTCATTGACTTATATCAAGTGCGCTTTGAGCCTCATACCTACTATAAAAGTTAGGTGACAAACAAATCCTTGACTGGCTCCTTCAACCTAGTCTGAATTCGTTGGGTCGAATACTCATTAGTTTATGCATTCGCAGGTCACATGGTCTATGGTTTGATTGGAAAATGTTCTTTAGCCAACCGAGTTAAAAATCTTGAGTTATGAGCGTAGTACATAACAAGCATGCAAATTGGTGATAGTTGAATTTCCTAAATTTCCTTAAATTTGCCTTGATTTGCTTTTAAATAAAGAAAAGTGTTAAATGTTACAGACACATTGTCGACTAACGTCTAGAATTACTTGTCAGATTCTCCGAATGCCTAAATTGTCGCTTGCCAAGGTACTAGCCGCAAAACATGGAAAATGCGACCCAGTCGATTCGTCTAAAAATTCAGTAAGATATATTTCTTGCCTTCCCGAACAAAAGTGTCTATGGGATCAAAGCAATCCTATGATTAGTTTCTGAGAAACAGACAGTTTTTTCTCCGGAGCAGCCTTGTTTGCACAAAAAAGTAAATTTGCCGAATCTATTAATAATAATTTAATAATTTACTTGTAAAAATACAGCATTGCAGGAATTTGTTGCCAGCAACAATGACGAATTAAAGAGAAACCTTGTGTATGGCAATAATCCTATTTTTTATCACATTTGCGAACATGGTCGTAATTTGTGCGCTGGAAGCTTCTGGTTATCTGGATATCGTTATCGAAAAGACTCACGATTTGTTTGTTTAAGGTAGTATCAAAGTCAATAATGATTTGAACCTATAACTAGGTATGCCTAAAGTATAAAAAAGTGAAAATCAAAAAAGAATGTTATAAATATTAAAAATCAAAAATAGTGGATTTTCAAATCCTAAGATGCACACTTTAAAAAAAGTATTATAACTTGACACCAATAAAAGTATGAGTCTTCATTTATATATTTAAGACCAGAAAATGGATCTGAAATGGCTCAATGACTGTCGTAGGTTTAAGAGAGTAAAATATAGTAAAAACAAAACGAATATAAATGGAACACTACAAATATACAAAAATCATCACTATACAGGCTGGTGACTACATTTGGCTTTACATAGGGGCATGCACAGTGTTTTGTCGTCTATATACCCATGAATTTTTTTCAAGAGCGTTGTAATAGTGTTTTTCCGGCTTGGCTATTACTTGGTACAGAGTCGCGTTCTGGCGGGAGTCATAAGAAATATTTTGTTAAAACACCTTGTAGGAAGGGTTGGAGGGTGTCATGTTGATCTTGACCATGCTGCTTAGAAGGCAAGTTTCAGGGTAAATTGATTTTTATACGCTTATGCCGGAATAGATCTGACACGAGTTGCTCCAGAATTCAGGAAACTTACAGGTTAGGTAGCTTTTCAAACGCACAGGTTATGCCTTACTTTTAATGGAAAGCTTACGTGTTTCTTAAACAAAATATGTAAATTTCAAAAAAATATTGAATCAGATCCAATTTCCTTTTGTACAGTTTATCCTTCATCGAAGTCCTTTGTTACAAAACTTCTCAATAAAGTCTCTAGATTCGCCGATGAAAACAAATTTTCAAATCAAGAACTCTAAACTTTGCAACTCGTAGACGTACTTGTATTAAATAGAGGATACCTTGACGTCCTGTATTGTAAGATCAGTTTGGTATAAATTGGAAAATGAGTTCACCTACGTGAAGAAATCAATGGCACCTATCCACGGCAATTAGCCAATGAGTCTCGTTTAGTTACCAAGACATTGGGACGTTCGCGAGTTATTCAAATACTAAATGTACCTAATACCTTTACAAAATACTGATAGGTACCATTCTCCGATTTTATGGAAGGTATATTAGCGCATCAGCTGTTAGCAACGGCGCAAGAGACGACTGCCCATCTGGCGTCAGATGAAGTGAAAGGTATCCGAAAAGGGATCTATTCACGTTTTTAATACCCAATAAAGTGTCGACTATGAATATCTTATCAAAAAGTTTACGAAAGTAACGAGGATTTTACTGATTGAAATGAATGAGCTTTACTGTAGATTTAAATCTCGTGTCCGAGTCCTAGGCATGTGTGGTTTTTTGACATGCTCTCCGTGATACTGGAGTTTGGGTATCATTCGGTAAAGTTGACTTAAACCATTCGATTTGTCAGAAGCAAACCAAAACAAGAACACTCAAATTAATAAAATACAATACCCTGAAGGTACGTTGTGAATTCTGGAGCTCCACGTGCCAGATCTATTCCAGCATAAACATATGAAAATCAACTTGTCTTGACACCGACCGTATAAGGATCATGGTCACGATCAGCATTTACACCTCCGAACACCTCCCTACAAGGTGTTTTAATGAAATATTTCTTTTAGTATACTGATTCTCAGAGTTCTTTTTTTGAAACTATAATTAGCTCATGCCTAATTGTTGCAAATCGTGCAAACTTTATCTGCGTATTTCTCAGAATTAATCATAGGATTGCTTTGGACACATGGACACTTTTTTTCCGTACGGTAAGAAATATATCATGCTGGATTTTCAGACAAATCCACTGGGGCCTATTTTCCATATATTTTGTGCCTGGTCCTTTTGTATCCGCTACCATATGATGATTATTCCCTGACGCATAGGACCTCACCCTATGAACTTTGCAATTATTAGCTTATAAAGCTGTACATCTGTTGGCAGTTACCTTAGAAACCTCTATTTTAACGACTATTGGCCCTATTCTACTTATTGGAGCACCTACTGGCCATACTACCGTTCATTGGACTACGAATTTAGCGACCTTGAGGACAAAATAAGGAACCTGAGAGTGAGTACAGTGTGACGATTGTTCCAATGGTACCTTTGGTGTTTGCCTTTTAGGCTGAAGTATCCCAGTTACGTCGCTGAATATCGACAAAACTTATTTTGATGTACATGTTTTGTGTTTCTTTTTCTTAGGTTTAGCTAAAACGATCACTTTAAAGTAATTCACAAAGCGTAATAGGAAAAACCAAATATAATTATGTAGCAGGTGTAGGTATTTTCTCTATCGAACGTATTTGAAAGGATGAAGATAAAACTTATTAAAGAAAATGGACAAGATTTAATATTGAAATAACATTAACATGTATCTTTTTCCATTTTAATAACATTATATCGATAAAGAGTTTGGAATGCGATTCGTAAAGTAGACAGGGTATCCCAACCGTGCGAAGACGAAGTATTGCTCCTAAACAAAATGTTTAAAAAGGAATTTAGGAATTATTGCATATATATAATTATCAAAGTTGATTTTTCTTAAACGGAATGCCCTACTTTGGGTTTTGATCATTAGTTGCTAAATTAATAAGTATTTGATATAAAAATCATCAAAGTTTGACAGCCTGCATGGGTACCTTCTTTAAGGATTTTTTCGCGAATCCACAGTGTAGTACAGTGCAGTACTGGGAACTTAAATTTTCGTGAAGAACGAGAATAGGGGAAGACGGATGTGACGTCTAATGTCGATGTCATAGCTCCTCATTGGTGTCGTGGTTTAGCGCTGTTTATTTAATTTTGGTTGATTTCTGATTTCAGTAGCCATGAGGCAACACCGTATTATGTTGTACTAAGTACGGAAAGTGAAATACTGGTCAGTGCCCACACATACAGTAAATCCTATTGGTGACTAAAAAGGTTCAACATTGTCATTCAAGCTTTGGGGCCCAGGGACCACATCCATACAATAAATAACTAAGAACACTAGTGAATCGGTTACTTGATTCTGACTTTAATTGGCAATTTTGAAACTCCGTCAATCAGTATGAATAAAAAAACAGCCTGCTCGTTGTTCTGTGAAGTACTCCAAACCAAGACTAACGTTGAATAGATCGCATGACAGAATGACACCAATCGCAGTCTTTCGCGAACCTCTATTATGGCTCATTATCTAAGATCTAACATATGCCGACAAAGTAAAGCATTGAAATGGAATAAAGCATGCCTCGCTTTTTCAAAGGTCGACTTCCGTAACTGATAGCCAGACTACGTCCAAATAATTAGCATTCTTGTATTGTATTGCAAACAACACAATATCATCTATAACTATCCGTAATAATGAAGAAGAATATTTTTTAAAATGCGCTTATCTCAAAACTACTTACTTCGACTTAAACTAGTGTGCCTTTGAGGTGCAGAGTTGGATTACTGGTCGATTGCAGAGCAAAGTTCGTAACCAATACATATGGAAAACCCGGACAAAGCGAACACCCCGGGCGAAGCAAATATCCTATTTCACATTGAAACCACGTGTAGGCTATCGCGAAAAAGTACATACTGGGTATTCATCCAACGTATTCTCTTTTAACAGTCAGCAATCAGTTGTCTGAGAATCCGCGTTATAATTTGACTACCAGAAATTGAATTTTTATTTAATTTTAATTGTATATGGGTTGTACTTATAATTTCACATTTATACTCAATATCTGCATGACCGGCTTTTTAAAGTATTAAACCAATTATCTGGTTTGAAGTATGCTGCTCGAAATAGTTATCAATGGCTTAAAATGTGTGTACGTGATATGACAATTTGAAGTTATAATTCATACCTATAAAACAGCATAACTCGCAGTAATGATCTCCATATGTAGGTATAATTAATAAAATAAGCAATAAGTGATGCCCCATTAAGATGATTTTGATAAAGAAATCAGTTGATGGTAAAGCATAAAAATGTGTCAATTATATAAGTGGTAAGTGCAGCACTAATCGATAGAGGGTAAGTTCTACAAGCAACACAATATCACTCTATTTTATGTTTGTGAATTACAAAACACACCCAGTTGAGAATTTATAGTACAATATATAGGAATATATTACATATTTCATGAGTAAATTCCCATTTGTAAGGTAGTTTTCAGCATAGTATGAAATATATATCTATAATCTGAACAGTCGAGGGGAAGCGTATGCATAATTGATAACAGACGAACCCCTCGAGTAAGTCCTTACTGGAGTAATATGCTCTGTTTCTCTCCAGTGCATGCCCATAGATACTAATAAAACGATACAGGAATGAAGATTCTGTTTTATCAGCTCCTTTCGTCGAAAAACAAAGTTTGAGCAATTTTCATTCTTTTTCGTTTTGGTCCTTTTCTCTGCCGTCACTGTTGTGTAGGAGTTTCGACGAAATCCGAGTAGAACTTCCCAAGTTATAGGTGGTTATAATATTTACAGACCGGCAGACAGACAGACCGACGGAAAATAATGACATGCTTTTTCGTGATGTAGATGTGTCATATAACATCCAAGAAACCTAATATATCATGTTCGAACTTTTTCGCGAATAAAATACTTCTCCACCAGTAGGCGCGGGAAGTAGAAGCGAAGCTACTACCATAAATAGCAGTAGGGTTTTTCAATCATCGTGTACCACCTGTTTTACACATTTATTTATTGTGGAAATGTATCTACATTAAAATGTCAAAACAATTGGATGATAGGTTATTCTATTTTAGAAATACTGAGACAGAGTTAAAAAATTCATGAGTGCCAACTATAAATGGGTTTGCATACTGCTTAGTCAACGTTTTGAGAAATAATGTTTGTTTCTCAAATATTTTGGACTACTCCCAAAACACAGTGTTAGAAATGATTCATATGTGGCGGTGAAGCAGCAAATATTGTTTAGTCTGACTCCGACTGTTCGACTGTGATATCAGGTAAAAATCAAGGTAAGTGGAGTTAGAACAATTGAATTCATCTAAAATTTTGGTTTCTGAATAACCAAGGGATACTAAGTCATCTAGTTGCTCGAAGAAGTGTATTTAGTCCTTTTGCTGTAGTACTCTAGCTTAGTCGTTTACAAGACAACAAGTCATAATTTCTGTTAAACGATTCTTTTCAAGTTTCTTCAGTTTATCCACTTGAAAATCTGTATCTGCAAGATGAGTATTTGAGACGTGGCTCACTGATTTGATTTCAATTTCAGAATCCCATCAAAGTTAAGAAAAAACAACGTCTGCAGTTAAAGTCCTTTTTTATAATACAGAATTTATAAAATGAATTTCAATCTTGCAAAATGCATATTAATCTATACCTCAGAATCGAGAGCTGCTGTACTAGTAAGGGAAGTTCGCGCCTTGTTAATTGTATCAAATTTTATACAGCAAGTACAAATGCTTAATCCCCCAGGATTGTCTGGCCAACGAAAACACATATGTTTGAAATTCTTCTTTAAAGTAGCATACGTTTCAGACACAACGGTGACCTTCTTAAGTACAATATACAGACACTTAGACACTTCTGATAAATAAATAAAATATTGTGTCATGTTGTGACCTAAACGTATATATACACCTATTATAGATTAAAGAATAATTTCAAATATGTGGTTTCATTGGCAGCATAAACATGGGGGATTATCGACAGATGTTATAGGAATTGATGACACAACAGGCACTATCGGTTATTTTTTGATCAGTTTCTGCTGAATATTCCCCACAATGGTGAATGTGTACATTTAGTAACTAACTCTTGAAATAACGGTGAGAGTGCAAGATAATTCTATCTTTATGCATATACAAGGCGTTTAGTTTCGCTAGAGTGCAATATCATGTATTCAGATTCTGCACAAAACTTACCATATGCCAGAATAACATATCACTCTCTCGTACAAAAAAATGTCCTGAAGAGCTTTTCTGCGGAGATACAGGCCCCTAATATTTATAAATTTTGAACGATGCTGCATATGAGGACAAAATATATTGTAAATTATGTGTAATATATAAACATATAAAATAAAGCAATAGTTTTTTGAAAAATGAAGGTGAGACTTACTCTAGCTAACCTGAACGCCTTGCATATGGAGAAATATAATCGGACAGAACTTTGTATTGAGCATTTTTCCATACATACACTGCACTTTGGAATGAGAGGACGACTCAAGTCATATTAGCCACTCCGTAAAAATACTTTTATGTCATGAGGTAGCATATGTGCCAATTCTTGAAGAGGGAGCATATTGCAGAATAAATCCCGGGGACAAGAATTGTTGGAATAGAAACGTGCCTTTACGTAGACATTTCTGGCTCCAATATTATAGTGTTAAAGGGTATCACAAACTATTTCATTACCATCTAATACTGACACTAGGTTTGGATCAAACTTCTATATTTCTAAGGAACCCAGTTACATAAATGTGGTTTAAGTGCTCAAAAACTCATCTTGTTAGCCTATTGATATACAAATGTTACATACAACTCTTTGAAACAATACCTTAAATAACTAGCTTGGGTTATAAAGAGGAGGCATAGAATTTCTCGGTTATATGATAGATGTTTAGCCAATTTGATTCAGGTTCGCAAAACAAGAATCGAAAGTTATCTTAACCAAGCTCTTAGACAGCATACTTATAGTATAATATATATCAAAATTTTGTTGTAGATGCTTACCTATTTACGAAACCCCATAACGGGGTACGAATATTCCTTCTGGCCCGATGCGAAATTTTTTTACCACTACAAAATCTATAGACCACTCAGTTTCCATGTCGACTGGCCTATTACGTCCAGGGAGTGGTACCCAGGGTACTGGCCCAGTTACAGGTCGTATTGGCACTATCTGAGGGATACACCCAGTGAAGATGCCTTCAGGCAACTTAGGGTAAGTGAAGATAATAAAGATCGTTAGATATACCGAATGTCTTAAGTCGGACTCTAGCCATTAGGATCTCTGAAACGGTAAGAGATACGAAGGCGGTTGGAAGGGGGAAAACATGTGCAAATACTAAGAAAATGGCACTTCGTTTTTATCCCTTCCTGCCTTACCTGAGGTATCACATCAAAATGACTGCTCAATCATCGTTGCCACATTTTCTTTTTTATAAGGTGGCACAAATTTCGTCTCGTACTCAATCATCAACTTCGGATACCATATTGGACTTTTATGCAGGTGAAGAGTTTTTAATAATTGTGATACCAAAAAAATAATATGTTATACGACGATGCTAAACCTAGAAGCCGTCTATGAGGATATGTAATTTTGTGCTGAATTCAGTTCGCTATCAGTGCTCAGACGCCTACTGCGCATTTGTAGTAGTATAATGGCTACTGGAAGTGCTAACGTGACAAGGAATCACAGGTTTTGAGTTGACTTTTTGATCTTTCCTTGCTGTTTTGCGAGAGATGAGATAACAACCAAAAAACTTAACCTCAAACGTCATCATTGTTGTGATAGCTTCTAGCATAGCAGTATCCATTATTGATATTATGCCTTCAGTTAAAGACAAAAGACACTCGAATTGTACAAAAGAGAGTCTTAAGAAATTCCTATAAGCAGGGGATCCTCCACTAGAAACTCTTTATTCGGCATATGATTGATCCATTTTGGACACCAAATTCTTTTACGGTTTCGTTTACCTGGTTTTTCCACGAGGCGGTGGTTCACTGCTGCCCCAGCCTCATATAATATATGCGAATTACTGGAGTGCTCCATTTTCTATAATTTTCTGTTCACTTAAAGTAAAGAAGGAATAAAGTAGAAAGCCGCAACGAAAGATGTGGTTAGAATGACGTGACAAATGGCAGTTCGAAGTTGACGGTTATAGTATCTTCCTACCGAGTGTGCATAATTTCGTTCGTAATTTGTTACAAAAATTTCTTTGCGTGACAGACATGATTGTAATTTTTGATAAAATTGGGAACTAAATTTATTAACATTTTTTTTACAAAATTTGATACCGAGTTATAGACAAAATTTTGTATCGGAACAGACGGCTTTTAGTTAATAAAAAAATGACCTTGAAAGTAACAGCTTATCACATGTGTGTCTTATACATCAACAATTAAAGATTGATTCAGTTTTTGAGAATTACCTTTTGTATATTCAGGTAATATATCCATTTATTAACTATAATTAGACTTATTTTATCATACGGAGCCTCCATCCAGGACACCTCTGTCGGTCATTAAATGTGTGCATCTATTCAAATATGACGAATATGGAATGTGTTTTATCGTGCAAACTCATCGGAGATTTCATTTATCCTAAATGTTTCTTAAAATGTTAAGTATTCCAGCTAGCATTATCTTGATCTTTATAGGATGAGTTAAGACCACCAATACGAAGATTACCTTTTTTAGAAGTTTTAAGTTTAACTATAACAATCTATGTTATAATTGTGCACATAATAACATCATTAACATCAGATACAGGCACAGTTTGCCTAATGATAGTTCATGAATACGGAAGGGGTGCTAGGCTGATGACATGAAACAAATGACTTCATAATTGTCAAGCCTGCCTAGGAAATATTGTTTTTTTATAAATATAATTATGCGGTATTTATGAATGGCATATCATACAGTTTTTAAATCAGAATTAAACAATTCATTCACCTGTGTAAAAATCCAATATGGCGTCCATAAGAAAATATAAAGTTGATTTAGAACAGGAGACGGAACGTCATATTGAAATTATAATTAACCCATCTTGAAAAGGACAAAAAGTAAAATGCCAATGGTAAGAATCGATCTAGAAATTCCCGGTATATACCAATTAATGTAATTCACGTTTGGCTTACCATCAGAAAAATCGGACTTCCTTGGAATGCTCAAAACAAACATTGTATAATTAGAGAGACATCATACTAGGCACCTTCATCATGCTATTTTATGCTAAAGAGTGACTTAGTGTTATTATCCAGTTGGCAGACCAATGATCACCTATAACGGATTTTATTTCTTTTCTATCTGTCGTTTATTAGAGTGGTCCATTGAACCTTTGCTCTTGGTTAGAGGCTTGTATCTCAGTAGGCTTATCGTGTCTGGTTGTCCAGATACCAGACAATGCTATAAAAAAAGAGAGAATAAGAAAGAAAGGAGAGAAAGAGGGGAGCAGAAATGGAGTTCTTTGGTTGGAGAAAAAAAATTCTTTAGCCTAAAATTTCAGGATTTAATTTTAGGAAGGGGTGTTACGGTCACTACTTGTCATAAAGACGGCACTGCTCGATGTAAACATAGCGTACAAAAAGTGAGTTGATTTCTTTTGGGAGGCTAATTACAAAGCAACGCAGTTTTACAAGTCGTTACACTACGAAATACAGGGATAAAGTTGTCGTTTCTCCGTAATACGTACAATATTGCTCCTTATTATTACACAATGTCTGTTTTATGATACACTTAATGGGCATTTCAGGAGATCCGCCTGTTATGATGGACTACTGTAGATAAGTAAAGCCAAGTGCTGCTGGCTGTTTGCCCCACTTTTGCTTGTATTTCTGTCTACTTGGCTTTCATATACCATACAGTTGCATAGGAATTTGTCTGTCAGTATGATGCATTTCACTGTTCCCACTCTTGTGTCAGTAAATGCCAGATCCAAAAAAGTTTTTTTGCCGTTTTGGATTCGCGATCATTTTTTAAAGTGATAGCTTTTAAAAGAGCGTGTTTTAGTATGATTCTCAGAGATATGATCATTTCAGACAGTATTAAAAATATTTAGGATTTTGTAGTAGATCTATCTACAAAAGGTTCACCGTAGGTTTAGGGCGCCCTTGTTTTTAAGCCGAACTATTCTGTTATTTCGTATCTCAAGGTCTCACTCTGATGAGTTCATGGAAGAGACGTCATGTGTTTGTTAGTGAAATTGACAGTCTCCAGTTGAGTTGGCTGATAGCCCTCACGTATCCTCCGAGTAACCGTTGTTCAAAACTTGAAATTCTTTTCAGAGATGACTCGTAAATTGTTAGGTACGGTAACAGCGAAATGGCAGGTAGAAACTGGTGCTTTTATTATATTTTATATTTATGGAATTAGAAGGTTATACCAGTAACCTTGGAATAATAATGTGGTTTTAGTTCCTGAATTGTAAAGCAGAAAAATATAATTTGAGACTACTAATAAAAACCTAACACGTCAAAACATAGGAGCGGCATATCAGTTGGAAGAAACTTTGTGCCCTTAAGACTCATCTCTAAGAATTCTTCCCTTACCCCTTCCCAAACAGTAGCGACTATAATGAAGCTGGTGAGGATAAGATAAGGTAAAAGGCGCGCTGAACCACTTCTATGTTTTTGCCCTGACGTACACTACATCGAACTATCACATAAGTTATATTTGAAGTAGACAGAATTGTAATGAACCGAAACAGAAATAATCCTTTTCATGAATCAAAAAGGTACCGTGAAACAATTTTTACTCTAGTCGAAACTATGTTTGGGTTGCTCTTGGTCCATTTCGGCATTTCGAACCCTCCAAATATATTCAAATTTTTTGGGACAGTCAAATAAATTTTCCTTTTCGCGATGCTAATTCAAGGAAGATATGATGATTTTATTTTATATCCAGTAGAGCTTCATAATGCCTGTTTTTGACGTAAACGTTATGCCTGAAATACAACTAACAGTACTAAAGAATTTGGAATATTCGTACAGCAAGATCGTTATCGCTATCCACCAACTGGCATTTTCTTTAATGGTTCGGTGTTGTTCAAAGAGCTCATACAGATGTAGATAATCACCATGAAGTATTATTGAAATACCTTGCCAAAGTGAAATATGCATTCACTGTATCTACTTTTTGTATCTTCGTCATTTTGTTATTTGGTTACTCAAGTTTCTTTCTTTAATGTGACGTGTTTTTTAGATTATTTACTACCAATTACATTTGTATTATCACATCAGCTTTTGTCTAATTGACACATAAAATCATCTGGAGTAATCATTAAACGTTTTCATTTATATATAATCATTTTGACAACATTCCAGTCATGTATTTTCATGTGATGTTTATCCACATCAGAATGTTATTTCCTTTTATTTTTTATGACTTCCAGATTAATTCATGGAATAGATTTTACACGAAATCCTACGACAGATTCACCGTGAACCGTAGAGTGCATATGTCGTTTCAGTTTTGACAAGGTTATTAATTGCAGTTTATTTTTGCATGCAATATGTTTATGTACTTTGCACGAACTTTTTGTAACTTGTACTGTACTGTATACTGATACCTATACAGATAGCATGCTCCCAAATATTGATTTATTTGGTCTTGCAATGGTATATTTTATTGTTACTTTCACTCTGATCGCACAAGGAAAATTCAAAAATTATCCATGTCTATACTATTCCATTGTGATTAGTAAAAAAGATATCGAATATACGTGCTGAGAACGACTTAACATTTAAAATACATAATTTATGGTGTTACTTCCATGGGAATGGATATTATATAGTAATGTATGTGTACCCAGTGTCTAAAATGGGTGCTTATGGTCCGCGGCGTGAAATTAGAGCCCACGGCCAAGTTTTTTAGCCTCAACTTTTTCCACATTGGATCCTCCGTCCGTTATTACGCGATCTGTAACATAGTGCTATCCCAGATTCTTACAAGCTTACAGTCAATATTTGCATGGAATATTTTATTTGCATAGTTGTTAACGTATTACATATTTTCTGTTATAGGTGAGAAATGACCTGTACTGGCACGATACGAGGGTTGCATGATGAGATTACGTGCGTGATATTTTTCTTCCTTTTAATTCATAAGTGTACGTAAGTTGAAAGTATATATGTATATTTTTGTATAAATAAACGCTATATTTGCTCTAGCTCTATCATTTTTAATCCATCCATGAAATAAACACAAGAAACTGTGGAGAATGCTCAAATGTAATAGAATATATTTGGAAGTTCCTTAATATAATAAAATATCCATTTACAGGACAAACAATAGAAAAAGCAGCTATATTCCATTAACACCTAAAAATAATGATGAAAATTACATATACAAGATATCAAAACAAGGAAGCAAAACAATAAAACTTTGAAGATATTGCTGGGATACACTTTTCAAGTTATTCAATGTATAATAAAAAATGTCACATACGCGCACATGACAAATACTGTTAAAATTGGAACACATAACTCTAATAGGTGATTTCAAAGTTATATTGTGCGCGTTGACAAAATAATGCTGTACTAACACGTGAGTGAAACCTGGGTATTAGGAAGTTAATTTGAGACAGTAGTGTAGATGAATCATGGATGTATTTAGGCAGCAGCGGTGGCCGCAGTAGTAGACTCTTCGGTCTCCTGATCAGTCGGCGTGCGCTGTGCGGGTTCGAATCCCGTCTCAGGAGAAATTTTTCTCTTGGCTATGGATGTTGTGATTGTCGGTAGGTGGTAGACGGTCTCTGACTGTCTAACGCGGAGGTACGCCGGGTGATCTCGTAGGCGGAGCCAGAATGTGTGCATGTTGCATGCACACGTGTTCCCTCGCCAGAGTCCGTGTGGCGTTCCCCCTGTATCACCCTATAGCACCACGTTATCCAATGGGTGTTTAGGCCTTTAGGCCTTCGTGGTAGTTGGTGTATGAAAAAAGTATCTTGTACATGAAGTATCTGACAAGTTACAAAAAAGCTCAGACCTGGCAGAGAGGGAAAATCCTCCGAATATTCACGAGCCTAAAGGCCAGCCGAGGATAAGGCGGAGGCGCTGAAACTGCTTTCGCCACAAGCCTTAACCTCTCAAGCCTATAATCAATGCGATGCTCAGAACCGAGTGTCTCCCTGCAGTGTGGAAGGCCTCTGAGGTTATCCTGAAAACAAGGATTATCACCCTACCTGTAGCTACTGTCAGTCCCATCTAAGTGCATGGAAAATGTGATCTACAATCACCAAGAGGATTTCGATAGATCGCCATATAATTTCTGACATGCCATTCCGCTTTTCGTCTGAGCATCGTACGATTTGCAGGCAGTCAGGTCGGTAGGCTCAAAACCAGGAGACTCACCCTTGATCAAAGTACTGGTGTCTTGATTTTGGGTATCACAATGGCATTTCAATAAGTATGGTACGGAGGTCTCCTCTATAGACTAATCTTCTTTCTCCAAATTTAAATATCTTCCTAGAAAATATGGAAGGTGTCAGTCCTCAGACCCATCTTTCACTATTTTGTTATACAGGAAGACCATAGCTTTAGTAAGTGTGAAATCTTTATTCAGTTCACACTACGTTTATGGTGGACACATATCCATTATATAGCTTACTACAATAAAAGCTGCAAAATAGTCGATATTACACAGTTAAAGAAATAATTTAAAATCGAGGACACATATGCAACAAACTAAGAACAAAATAAAATCAAAATCGTAGAATATGACAGTTACATAAGCATGAATAAGTTATGTAAGAGCCTGCATACTTAAACTGTTGATGTAAGTGACTAAAGGTTGTGGTTGTGGTCATTTAGCCTTGGAAGGTCTGCCAAATTAGTTTTCACGTGAATCAGCACTTCTAGGATGTAAAAAAACGAAACTGTTAATATAACGGTCTAAAATATTCTCTATAGCTTGATCTTCTATTTATATTTACGATTAACCAGACCACCCTCTCTTACATAGTGAATACTTTACTGGTTTCTGAAAAAGATCCCCAGGCAACTATGTAATACGAAATAATCGAATGGACGTAGGCGAAGTGGTATGCCTTCAGAAAGAAGCTGTCAACCACAAATCGCAGCTGACTGAGACAATATGTGTAAAGGGATTGATCAATCTATGTGTCAATAAATTTTGTGGCGTATATATGTTCTATTAGTCTACCCAATCATCTGACCAACGAGCTGCTATTGAGGTTATGAATTGTGTGGCCACACTTATAAATTGTGTTTTAGTGGTGGAACGTAGAGGACTATTGTCCAAAAATCATTGCTGTATACTCCATAAATCTTTTTTTGATGCAAGGACATTAAATTATTGTTGTTTATAAGAATCGATGTATCTTCTGCGTTCATGAGGTGATTTGTGCTACAAAGCTAATGTACAACAATGGTATAGACGCATGAGGCACTCCCAGTTCACTCTACTTGATTGACAGCCATTGATTTCAACAGTCAGATAGTCACGAAATAGAAATGGGGGAGCCATAGCTTTCCAACCTCAATAACATCAGACGATGATCCACCAGATCAAACGCTCTGGTCTTTAGTTAGATTAATGAATATGCCAACCCTTGCTTGCCAACGTTCAGATCATCATAGAGGCAGTTCATAAATAATCTAGTCACTGCTTTGCTTTTTAACAGACCCTTTCTCAAGCCAAATTGGCCAGTATGGCAAAAAGAAGTATGGCTGAAAAAATGAGCAAATGATGGATGATCCTTTCTGGCTCTCGTAATAGTCGTAGCTCATTAAAATTCTAGTATTAATATCTCATTGTATACTTGTAGGGTCATAGACATATCATAAGAGTCCATATGACAAATTTTAAGAAACATGTTTCGTTAGCATCTTGATATTTTGCAGTTTGCTGTTTTGAAACATGATTTCAATAAACTGCAAATGCTTTATCATAATCTGTTAAGAAATTTAATGCTTCGTGAACAAAAATAAATGTTTAGCGTTTGTTGTGCTCAGTACAAGGGGTGGCATTTTTTATCATTTACAATTGTACAGGGTGCCCCGTTCTTGAGTCACACATCAATGTTGCATTTTCTGTTAGTTGCTGACTTTTGTCTGAGAAAAAAAATCAAGTTTGGCGGCCCACATCTCCTTCATATTCATGGAAAGGGTACTCGAATCAAACATTCTTATTGATGTTAAATCTAACGGATCCATTTCTCGAATATTTCATTTTATACTGATGTTCTGTGTGGTAAAACTGAAGGATATATTGTTCCTTAAGAGAGCGAATGGTACGGTCTGTAAATTTTTGATATTACTGATTCAATTTTTTGTAGCGGTATAGTTATGAATATCTAAAATAATGCTCCTCCAAATGTCACGTACATTTCCAAAGCCTTGTTACACGTAAATACTATACCTATCAGTTAAAACTGATTTACAGCAAAATTTCTTGAAAAAATAAAATTGTCTTTGATACTATTTGTATATTTATTGTATTCTCTGTTGCGCCTAGTCAAAAAAATGTTAAGCAAAACATGTCTGTGGATTATTATACAAATGATACATGAGTTTCCAGAATAGCAAGAACTATGCACCTGAAGTTTAAGTATGAATTTGATATCTAAAAACGCAAAAACTTACTGGGAGCCCAACTTGACTTCTACAATAAAAAATACATTTTGTTTTTGCATCATCCTGTGTTAAATCAGCAAGATAATTAAAAACTGTGTCTATTGTATTAAAACTAGGGACAATAGGTACCACGCAAAATTTAATACATCTATAAAAACGCCTGATTGTAAAGCCTTTTCCATAGAAAAATTCTTAATAGCCCAGTAACTAACCGTCAAAACCTATAAGTATGTGATATCAACCGCCTTCTTATAGTCGGATCAATCCAAATATGAATTAAACAATAGGCAAACCATTTAAAAAAGGATTCGACTAGGGTCACCCTGTATAAGTACAGTAATGAATTTGTGATTTTTGGTACCTGATAAAAATCTATGTTAGAATCCTAGCAGATTATGATGAACGTTAACAGTTCATTGAAAGAGCAAAGTTTGCAAGATATCGAGAAGCCATTAATGGAAAAAATACTTCTTAAAATCTGTCTGCCGGATCTTGATAGTATTTTTGAAAATTTGTAAGTATAGAGTAAGATTCTTAAAACAGGAACGAGTGTTAGGAAGGAATTATCAATCCTTTTAAAACATTTTTTTTCATGATGAATTTACTAGACATACTGTGCTGACAAGCTTTATTCAAAAATTTGTAAATTAGCATGAAGCGGCACCGTATACACAAAGCAATCGCGTTTATTTACAAATTACGTAGCACTTCCATCAAACAAAAAAATTAAAAAGTCCATGTGCATTAAAAATTACTAGCAATCGAAACCCTACGGTCAAGGCCTCATAATTTTGTGTACGCACCAGGGACTTTAGCTATTTCTCATATAATTTAGGTAGCCACTTAAAGTCAATGGCAGTCTGACATACTTGAATAAAAGGAGCCACGTCGCGCCATCTGCGAATTTCCATTGCGAAACTTCGTAATAACTTAATCGTATAACCTTTAAACGCTTAGCCAGTTTCTGAATGTGTTTTACCTATTGCATGATGGAGTTTTGCACCACTTGTTCTATTTTGCTGCTCAGGAGAATTTTGGTGAGGGTAAATCTCTCCACTTGCTGAGAAGGTGATTTAACTCATAATAGCTTAAAAATTTGCCAAGCAGCTGGAATATATCTTTTCTCACTTTATATTTACTATCATGTAGAACTAGCAATATATGACAGTTTCAAGAATAGGTTGAGTTATCCTTGCGTTGTGGTTGGGATCTTTCTGTACTGACAAATAAACAAAACCAGCATGCGCTGTTATTTCAGAGCTGGCGCGGTTATGTAGCCCAAGATATTAGAAATAAATCGTATACCAAAAAATTTAAACATACCGGGTGCTCGCCTTATTACGTATTTAGGTAGATAACAAAGCGCCGTTTAGAAAAACTCAAAGTACTTCCGGCGAGATACAGAAAAACATAATTTTCCCAAAATAATCATGATAATAATAACAAACGGGTTTAATTATTGAAAAGTACATAAAATAAAACAAGAGTTATAAAGATATAAATGTATTATACCTAAGCATACGTGTATAATATTGCGGTCACAGTACACCGAAAAGAAACGATTTTGTGCAGTGAGGGGTCAAACTATGCTGGTGAATACTTTTCTAAAATAAATCTATTTTTCAAATACATTGTAACTTTGTGATTTTAATGCCTGAGGTACTTACTTCATTATAAAGTGTAGCCGCGTTGTATGTGAAGCACTTATGAAAGAATCGGGGAGGAAAGTTTTGTGAAGAGGCATTGTGAGTGTCTCAGTAAACCGTATATCTATTGAGAGAAAAGAATATCGAGGGATCAGCTTGTTCTTTGGGAACGAGGGAATCGAAGTAAGCAAGACCTTATGAGTGTGACTTAACTTTTATTGTAACTCATATAGCTCTTCCACCTTTAACCATCCCAAGTATCTTGTACGCTCATGTTTTCTCAAATTATTTATCAGTCTGCAACATAAATTTTGATTTTTTTGTAAACGTGAAAGAGATATTGTATGTAAAAATGGATTGTAAACTTTATCACAGTAAGTAATTTTGGACATAATGATTAACATAAGATTATTTTAGTTAGATAATCGAGAATTTGCTTATTCAGATATAACTGACGAAAGAATGGAAAGCAGTTTTTAGTAATTTTGTTTACATATGGTACGAACTTGAGACACTCATCAAAAAGAATTCCCAAGTTTATAACTGCTTCATTAACTTCGATACTAGCACCAACATTGAAGTTGTATATAACATGATGTCTGAAAGGTTTAGGCAAAGGAATAATCGCTTTTGATTTAGAAGGATCGAAGGTGGAGGTTATGATTTTTGCATTCATTACTTGATTTCATGTCGTCATTGATCTCATATTCAGCGATTTGAGTGTTGCTATTAGGAAAGTGGTTATAAATTTGAGAGTCAACAGCAAAAAATTGAATATTACAATGTTTACCGAATGTGTGAAAGTCGGAGATATATAAAATAAATAATAATGGTCCGAGTACTGAATCTTGGAGCACGCCAGATGAAATGGCACACTTAAGCGACACATCTATATCAATAGTAACTCTTTGAGAGCGACTCTCTAGAAAACCACTCGTCATGTTCATATAAGAATGCATCTGCAGTATTGTAGCCCTTCGGAAAGCACATTGTACCGATGGTAATATTTAAGATTCTGATAGATATTCATTTATTTGAGCGTACATTGCCTTATAAAAATAATTTAGATAGCACAGGTAGGATACCAATCGGTCTCAAATCTTGCAAGAGGGCATACGAGTGCTTCCTTCCATAACTCAGGATATAGTCCGTTCATTAGAAAATAATTCAAAATATGGAGGACAGGATTCAAAATAACGGGAAAAATAATTTGAGCATCCTAAGCGATTTTATGTATTGTCATAATGATCTTTGTCATCGTGTTTAATCGTCTCTTTACATGAACAATGATCGTTGTTGAAACTGAACGAAAGTAATAATTAATTTCGTTTGGCTTTCTTAAATTGGTGGGGATATCTCCTCTTTGTGGTAACTACAAACAAGTCGGATGTGTAAGTTTGTAATATAAAGATAGGTTTGCCTATTTGATTTGTCTATTTAAGATCTTTCATTTTGAAATCTTCCAGTGTCCATCTACCTAACGTTAGGTGTAAGAGTAGCTTTGAGCTAAGTAGCACCTTTTGTAGATAATTGTAATAAAGGCATTTATTATTAATACTTAGGTACCTACTTGCTATAAAGGCTTATATCAATGGGCTATTTTAACAAAATGGGGCATTAACTGCTACACGTTCCTCAATATGCCCAATGTCACATGAAAGTTGTGCATGTGGAAAGCTTTTTCGATAAATATGTTCGCTCGCTGTGTTTACGGAATGATGTATATTAATATTTTGTTCTAAAAAAAGTTTGTTTTCAAAAACATTGTATCATTATGCTACTTCTACCCACATAGTGACGTCACCGCTTTTGCATAAGATTAATTAAACAGAAGCTTTGGGTACTTTATCGATGCATTAACCTGTTTGTAATTTAGTTACAACCGTTAGTTTGTTACATTTTGCAGCGACATTGCACAAACGAACTTCTACGAAACAATAAATTGAACTATATACTTTCCAGAAATCGTTCTGAAATTATCCTACAAAAATAAATTTAATAAAACAAGTAACGTGTGTGCGTAAATTTTTGGCAGCAATTTTTGGTGGGATTAGACAGCGTTTGGCAGTGAAGTAGATGATAAGATTTGGTAACAATCCCGTGTGTGCCATTATCTTTGTGACTTGTGACATAGACAAAGCCCAAATTGTCACACACAAGGTAAGTTATTGTTTTTCTTATTACAAATACATCGCAGGCTACTTGTAAGTCAATGCTTGAGAGGGTTCTAATGTATGGTGGATGATATTCTTGGAGTGAAGATGATTATAATTAAGAAACTGAAGGAAATTTGTACGAAAAATATGTCAGTCCAGCAGATTATTAGCAGGACCTTTTTCTAAGAATCAAAGCTCGTTGTGTTGCTTGTGATATGTGCGAGTATGTGAAACGAGTGGTATCTGTTACTGTTGAAGCCCTGTCGGTATAGGTATATAGATAGTCCTATTGTTGTGCAGGATAAGCTTTTTCAATTAGTATTCGTAGCCTTTTAAGGTATAGTTCGGTTACAAAGTAGGAATTCGGATGAACGAGCAATACTCATTTGGAATGGCTTTTATTTTTTATAGTAATGGTGTAGTTTTAAGTTCCGATCTAGTTGATGTGCACCTGTAATACGTACATTTTAGCTTAATTTGGCAGTCATTTCGTTGGTTGTTTTCAATTCAAATTCAGTTCAGTGATGCATGTCATAGATATAGTAGGCACATGAAAATACTATTACTCTCACTCCCTATGGCAATATTGGAGCTTTTAGACAGATGCCCTTCCGATTCATCTACTACTTTCCTATTGTATTACCATTGATGGACTATATCCCTGCGCACAAAAAACTTATCTGAGATAAAGTGAGATACCGCAGAGTCACCTATGATAACTTGTCTTAGCTGTTTCTCTATTCCCTATATATACTTCGACATGGTGAGCTTTTTAAAATATATGTATACAGACCAAGGTGACTTGTCAAGAATCGACACTGTTTCGGAAAAAGTTGTAATAAGCGGTTTTACAACGGAATTATAGTCTTGAGGGTATATGTGTATGACAAGGCTCCTCATCGATATATTCAAAAATGTTGCTTCCTAAATTCACTTTTTCGCGTATATTCAAATAGTCATAAATAGTATGTGCATGCGGTCCAAAAAAAAAACATTTGTAGTCCATAAAAATACATTCAAAATGAGAGCTTACTAAAAATGGTATTTTGGATCCCCAGGGCCATCAGCACTTTAGTGATGAGCATTTTATTTATAAAGCAACGGACTTATTCTAATTGTTTGTAATTCAAAAATACATTAAGATAGTCTTGGCGATGCTTTTTTAAATGGTTAGTATAAATAAATGTAGTATTTGATTTAATAAGATACTAAAATAAGTCGCTAGCAGGAGCACAAACTAGTGTAAGGCGATTTGACTAATCCAAAGTCGCTGAATAGCTCGTCAAAAAATGCTATTTTCTGAAAACAATTACTAACAATTTGAAAATTGCAGAAACGACTGAGCCTTTTTTAATCACTTTCTGGCTGTTACACATTTACCGTTATGCAGTTCCAATAAACAATATATGTAGACACCGACGATTTTTGACGATATTGAAAATTGGCTGAGTAGGTATCTTCATCCCCACAGTGGCGGATTTGCAGTTTTGGCCGCCCTAGGCCCGAGGCCATGTAGCCGCCTCTTTCTCAGTATTCATTATATAAAGTAATAATTTGATGGAAATTGATTTAGAAATATAATCAAGTATGGTAGATGCTAATTTGTAGTACCTTCCAAGGTTTCAAGGATAACTACACATTTAAATAACACTCAAAACGGCTTTATGGTTTATTTATTCAACTAGTTTAACTACGGGTTCATTCTCATACAATAAAAATAAGTGTTTTATAATGTTACAAAACTCATCTAGACTTAAGCGCGGCAAAATCATTAATTAAGTCTTCACAGTACAACTTTCTTAGAAAATTTGCTTGTGTGTCAAGCAAAGCAAGATCGATCAGCCTTTTCTCCCTCATGGTGATGCGTAAATAATTTTTAACTCGTTGCAAACAACAATTGATCGTTCTCGGTTAGTGTTACTGGCGGGAGGACACACACACACACACACACACACACACACACACACACACACACACACACACACACACACACACACACACACACACACACATTGTGAAGAGCAAAATCCACGTTTGGGTAAATTGTTTGAAGACCTTCGGTTCGTAACCATTTCAAAAAACTGATAGCACTTTTTCGATCCTCATTTTTTACACTGCAGTGATGTCGAAAATGGAGACATTCTTATGAAAAGTTGTCTTCTAAGTCCGTAGAATAAGCCATTTGCAATGCTTTGGCCTTTTCTTAGACTTCGGACGTGCTTAATTTCGTCAAGTTAGTGATTAAATTAAATGTATTGTAAAGTAGTTTATAAGCATCACGTCGTTTTTGAGCTCTTCTGATAATGTATCAATTATTACCAAAAAAGTGGTGATTCTGAAATTTTCGCTACCGTTCTTTTGTTGCATCTCTTCACGTGTATTAGTGTCGCTAGGAAGTAGCTTACGCTTGCGATTGCATCCAACATCTCTTTCATATTCCTGTAGAAATGTCTTTGTTCTCGAAATCATCGAAGTTATCTCGTATGTCGCCAATAAAATATATCAGTACTTCATACAGTTCTACGACAATGGTAATGTCAATTTCCATACTTCTTTTACTTGTGGCGCTAAGACGATCCAGTAAACATCCCCAAAACACAGTCATGATGGCCGTTTCCAAACGTTCCAGTTTCCGACGAATACTCTTCAGTTGTGTGTCATTTAGTAAGATTATTGTGCGGCCCGCCATAATGTGCCTGAGTCTTTAGAATATTTAGGTACTCACGTACTTCTTGATATCATTAGTGAATTTTTTGTCACGATTGGCCGCCCCTAATATCTGGCCGCCCCACGCCTGGGTCTACAGGGCCTATTGGCAAATCCGCCACTGCATCCCTAACAGCTTTTTTTGTACCACTTACACCAATGATTCCGAACTATTTGAATATACGCGTAAAAGGTTTTCCCAACTGACATTTATTTAAAACCCAAAACTTTTCGCATCTCTTGGCGAGGTACGTTTCCGTTTATCCTCAACAATATAACTCCGTTGAAAGACAGCTTCCTACAATTTTTGTCTCTAGATATTCTCGTCTAATAGGTAGTAAGTAAAGAAACAGCTGTGACAAATGTTTGTAGATGACGCTTCGCGATCTCGTTTTATGTCGGATAATTTCATGTGCGCACGCATTTGGTTGTAAAAACCATCTCTTCAAGTTCAAAGTAAAAATAGTAAAGTTCTTTTCAATCTAAAAAAGTACATCCAGAAATATATTGAAATACAATGTTGACAAAACTATGTACTTTTTGAGCAAATCGAAATCATGAATATATACAATCCAAATTGAGTAGCTTTCTCTTGTTCATCCAGTCTTATAACCCTAACCGCTTCCGAGAAGACTCTGAGTTGAGTGACCCAGATTTCCTAATATACGGAGTGGCCAATATATAACTGACTGTCTTGTTCTTCCAATCTCTTTAAAATGAAATGACATTGATTATGTTTTTTTAATATCTTATGAAATTAAAATACTGCTCTTCAGCTAGTAGGGTGATTCACAAGTCGTGACCAAAAATGAAACATCACACAGAACCGCATTTCAAGGGGGGCCTTCTATGTAACATTTTTTACTCGATTGCTTCCTTCAATTTGCTACAAGTAATCACTCTTAAGTTTTTCCTAGAGTGCATCGTAAAAATAAAAATAATCGTTACGATACGATCCTGAATTTTCATTACACTATAATAATATACTTAAATTATATATCTAAAACATTACCATAGACTCATGTTGCTATTTTATAGATGATCAAGCTGAGGTATGATCCCTATTATGGAAACAGGGTACTTTATTACCCAGAAAGCAGATACTACCACGACGACACGTTTGGAAGATATTGGTCACCAAAATTCGCATTTTCCAGACTTCCGAGATATTGGCCCATTTATATGATAGATCTATGGCCCACGGAGCATCACATGAGACAAATCAGGGTTAGTATGAATATACGACAGGACAGTTTAAATGCAATCTCAAAAATATTGTAGTTGAACATAGTAAAAAGTACGTACAAAACTTGGTCGAAAGTTTTCCTACTTAGCAACAATAGTATCACTTCTGTAATAACTATGACGCTCAAAATAAGAAAATAAATAGACGTCTAAGTGAAAAAATCTTCAATTACGTATTTACGTTCCACTCGGGAGATTTACTCTGTAAGTTATCTAGTTGTATGTGTCACTTTATTTAATCGCCAAAAATAGATCGTTATGGTCTGGAAGCAGCCACCATGATCGCCTGTACTCTTATACAGGATGTATGGAAAATGCAAAGTAGTTTTATGAGCAAACTGGAAGCGATATCAAAAATCTGTTTCCATGGCAATGATAGATTTTATTAAACACCAGTGATCTATGCACCTTCCAGTTAAACATAATAGAGAATCGTGCTACCCAAGTTGCAGAAACAGTTGCTAAAAGATACTGGATCTGGAGTCAAACATCTGGGAATAAACAGAACTACCTGGAATGTATCAAGACAATTCCATAATGAATGACTCCATTCCATTTCACTGTTTTCTTGGATGATCTGATTATCAACTTAAATGTGAGATATTTCTTCTTCTTGGTAATTATTAGCAATAACTCGGAAACTGTTCGAAAAGAGTGGTATTGACCATATCAAAATTTTGATGTAAAAATATACAGGGTGTCAAATTTTAAATTTATGAGGTAATGTACATTTTGCGCTTTGAGGTATCCTGTATAAATAAAAAAAAATATTTAAGCATTTCTTCCAGATCAGCTTAATATTGATGATGATAAAATGTTTCTGAACTAAGGTTTATCTAAATATATTCGAGAACGGCGAGAATTTTAAAATACAAGGTTACCACAAAAACATATTTTTGATATCTTTTCCAGTTTGCTCATAAAGCTACTTTTCATTTTTGTTGGGACACCATGTATGTACCCCAGTTTGAGGGCCGTATTTAAAAATCAGCTGGGCGATCCAATGGCTGTCAATTTGTAAAACGGCTATTCAACATGCCTTCGTTACCTGTGACTCACTTTCACATTTTTAAACCTCATTTTACTCGCTTTCAACATATTTTATTGTTTCACATTCTTTGAATGGCTTAACAGATCTTCAGATATACCAAGTTATTCAATTTGTATCAATTTATGCAGGTATTTAAATTGTACTATTGCACATGGGCGACTAAATTGGAAAATATTTCTGTGAGCGAATATCTCAATAATTATTGGATCATTGAAAAGATGTGTAATCAAAAAATATGTTTGCCTTGATAACTTTGGTGTAGCAGAATAATTACTGGATTATGAAAAACTGTATAACATTAGAACATGTTTGTTCTTAAATTGGAATAAAATGAGTTATGAAAAATTAAATTCGGCCTACTAGTTACAAAGATTTGCAAGTTGGCGTCCATTTTTAAATATGGCGGCTAAGTGACCACGACTATGATCGCGTGACTTGATAATTCATATATTCCTGTGTAGGTGCCTATTGATACCCCACATTAATACTGGGAGAATCTGTAAGGGCACACGTGACCTTAGTGGCTACTTCCCGGCTATTAACAAATGACACTTCGTGGAAAATGTGACCAGAGATTCGTTGATTTCATTTTGAGAATGGCTTTACACTAAATACTCGTACATGTTTGATGCTATAGGTAAGTTACCGATAAGAGGTAATGAGCCTAATATTGCAATGTAACTCCTATTTATGTATAAAATATTGTTTTTTAGGGAATGATCATAAATTTTCAGCTGCAATTCTCTTTCTTTAATGTCTTGATACTAATTTTAGAGAGAGGGATGACAAATCATGATGCCTGATACTCTAATACTTGATAAACATTTCGCATGCAAAGGCTATGTCCTTGAAAAAATGTGACACATTGACTAACTACATGCATTTGATGCTGAACATATTTTCACTTCAGATGAGAAGTTATCAAGCTAATCTACTCATTCTTGCAATGCTATCGATTAACCTTAAGACGTGAAACTGTGTATAAAGCAACATCAAACATTTATTCTTTATTCTTTGCTACTTAGATTCAGCAAATAATCACATGTAATGCATCAGGTACCTATAATATATTCCCGTCCCATTATCCCAGATAACTTTTCTGTTGTCGTTTCAAAATAAGTGAGCCCTTCTCCATATCAATGATGTTCATCAAGCTAGTTTTTATTTTTTGTAATTTTTTTACAGGTTCGAAACAACTTGTACTATACACCTATTAGCGCCTAGATAGATGTTAAACGAACACACAAGTATTTATGATTACATATATAATTAATGTAAGTTCATGTTAAAGAAATATATCTTGCTAAATACCATTTTTGTCCCTTCATTTTTACTAGAAACCATGAGTTGTAAATCTGTAAATACATACATATACAAGTACGTTTATGTTATCTGTTGAAACCCACGAATCTGAATAAAGAATAAGCCAAGCCTATATAGTCAACGACAAACAAAGTGGCGTGCACGTCATCAAGGTGGGTGTGTTGAAAAATTTACATTGTTGCCAAACTTTTTGTAAAATAATAAAATTTATTATTTACATATCTAGGTTTATAAGCAATATTAACCTCAAATGAGAACAAAAATAATAGTATAATAAAATTATAGATCTGTACTTGCATAATCATTAAGTATGACAATTATTGATCAGATGACACTATGAAACTACCATATTTAATTGATAGCTTAAAGGTACTGAATAAAAATCCAAATGGGGTCCTCCAAATTTTATGCATGGTATTTATTTTACAGAATTCATACAGAAAAATGCATTCTAAAATTAGGTAAGCTACTGGTGTAAGCTTTTTCTGTGAAATAAAGTTAGTCGGAGTTTCTTTCTTCAGCGCTGTCTGAATCTGAATCTTCATCACTCTCAAAGTTGATTATTAAAGGTTCGATGTCTGGTCGATCAAAAATTCGTTCTCTTTCATACCATTTAAAAATTTCTTGCTCAGTATGTCGAACACTATTTTTCCACATGTCTGGGGTAACCGTTTGTAGAGCCTCGTTCCACATATCCAAACAGTCTTTTTCACTTTTACCATCTCTACCAATATGTCTGTTATAGTAACCTTTTGCTATGCCCCAAATTAACTCAATAGGGTTAAATATACAATGGTAAGGAGGCAGACGAAGAACTTTGTGCCCATGTTGTTCCGTCAATTCATAAATCACGTATATTTTAGGTGGTTTGTTTCTAAAAAAGCAGTTATTTTAAGAATAGGAATAAACAAAAGAAATATAAACTGTCGACCAAAATACATATAATTAAGAAGCATTATGTACCGAGCAACAATACTCAATAGCTCTGTTTTAAACATTGTGTTTAAAAATGGTATGTTTTGATTTGTCAACCAGTCTTGGATATTTTTTTTGTCCATGCATTGTTGGGCACTTTGTTCAATATCATGCTGTGATAAGGGGCGTTATCCAGTATAATCATAGATGGACTCTCCAATTTTTCTAATAACTGATGTTGAAACCATTTCAAAAAATTGTCCTGGTTCATCTTTCCATGGTAATCGCTCAATTTTGTTTTCGAAGAAAATATCGCTTCACTACCCTCAATAAACCCATTTTCATTTCCAGCATGTAATATAATGTATCTAAAATATATTAGTTTTAAATTTTATAGTGCAAAGTGTGTAAAAGTACATACCTTTTACCATCTGTTTTAATAGCTTTCACGCTTTTTTGGTTTCCATTTTGCCAAGAGCGACCTATGGTCCCATTTTGAAATATCCAAGTTTCATCGAGGAAGACAAACTGGTATAAGGCCTCAACCTTGGCTTGATTGTATTGCCTTAGAAATTCCACCCTTTTCAAAGCTATACTTGGTAGTTCCATGAGCCCTCGTCGCGGATTGTCCTTAAGCCACTTAAATCCAAGATCTCTAAGCAACCGCTTTAAAGACGTGGCACTACCATCAAATAATGCCCTATCTCTTAATCGAGACCATAAAGTTTGTATCGTAACTTGTTCTTCTGAAACCATGTGTAATATGACATTATAATTTAGTTAACAAATTAATGCAAATTTCTGATAAGTTATTATAATAAGATCTTACTTTTGTGATACATATTATAGATCACTTCTCGAATGGCACTTGTATCCTATGTCGCTGTGTTGGTTACACGTTTAATATAACTCCGCTTTTTCTTGGGCGATTCTAAATTTGCATCACTTTTCACACCCTCGGAAATACGACTAACTATTCTTAAACTAATTTTTAAAGCAGCAGCAACACGCTACAAAAAATGAAATAAAATTTCACTATTATTAATATACATTACATATAATTATTAGTAACCTACCTCTTGAACAGCATTTAAAGGCAACAAAGGCCCGTTGTTGTCCCTTTCTGGGCTCAAAGTAGTGCATTAACGAGGCCACGAGTTCCTTACACCGACTATTTAACTGTTTGGGCATCTTTATATACCAAAATTGCCTGTATCTACTCGTAAAATAAATAATTTTGTTTTGAAACAAACAGTTGTTGATTTACAGTATGCGGGGCCAAAGGATTTATAAAGATTTGAAATGCCACAAATTGATTCAGTGTCAAAATTAATACAAATGTCAGTTCCCAGTTTAAATAAGTTTCAAGGTGACAATGTGTCAACGCTGCGAAATCGGTTTAGTGCGTTTACATGTCGATAAGTGATTGGAGCGTTTGCAAAACATTTTATTTCGCATAATGCGTCTAAATTTATCAGAAAGCAACTTATGTAATATTTTAATAACAATGTTTATATGACTATTAACCATAATAAGAGAGTAATGAACATTTTACAATTTATATATCACATTAATATGAAACTGCAATAGAGCAATTGTTTGTGATAGAAACCTAGGCATTAGGACGGGGAATTTTTATCGTGATGACGTGCACGCCACTTTGTTTGGCGTTGACTATATGTTTACATTGCATTGTTTGTCGCCAAAATTGCGTAGTTTTAGTGCATTCTTTTGATTCATTTGACTACAAATACCTAACACTATTGTATCAACACAATAAAAATACTTACCGGTGAAAACATCTGTGAGAATGAAGGGCACAGGCAAAAAATAGGGAATGTCACAATATTTATTTTTTCAGTTTCTTATTGAAATCAAATTCTTGTATATGATATTTTAATTCGCAATCGAAACGAAAACAACAGGGAATGTG